ATTAAAATTAAATGAATATATCGTTCAAAATCCATTTAAAAGTTTCAAAGAACCAAAGTTTTTAAAAACATTAAGCGGATTGTTTTGAGTGTTGAAAATGATTTCCAACACTCATATAAAATGAATTATATAGGTTCATATTTTATTAATTTATTACTTTAATAAATGAATTCTTTATTAAATGACTACATGGTAATTCCTATGAGCCAAATTCTCAATAATGAGCTCTATAAGTCAATTTGGTTGATTATAAATTGCATATAGTGAGTGAAACATAGACCGACTAAAGTCATTATGTTCTATTAAGTTTAACTAACTCCTATATAAAAGCAACTTATCACCCACTAATGCTACTAGGAGCTGAAGTATCAAATGGAAATGTAAAACTTTTTATACATGAAAATAGAGCAAAATAAATTGAAGTCGAAGTTTATAAAAACGAATTGACTTTTCGGATGATTTTTAAAACTCTTTGTAAATAATAAAATTTTAATTTATAATCAAATTCTAAAGCCAATATGATATTATGTTATACTGACATAATTTAACGGCTTCAATCCAAATGTCGATATTCACAAAGACCTTAACATCGCCACAGTTGCCGAGGAAATCAAAGCATAAGCATATAAGAAATCATTCTAAGTAACTCCAGAGACATGTACTCATAAACGAGTATAGAAGCATTAGCAGGCTTTTCAATACCACAGACCCACAGTCCTCCTCCGACGACTTCATCAAAAGAAGCCATGTGATCTTATTATCATAGTCGCAGGGGTTTTGAAAATCTCTTAATAAAATATATAACATATACTTGATATACATAATGTTTGAATAAAACAAACCAAAAACACTTTTTTCCATAGATATATGTAAAAATTATGCTGAAAAACGAAATTAAAGTATCTGTGTAATCAATTCGCTTTGGTTAAGTATAATGGTTTAAAAATATTTTTGCAACTATTGTATTTATGCAACTCATGTCTTTCCATGTTTGTGTGCAATATTTCAATAGAAAAAACTCAATGTTGTTTATTGTCTCCATGCTCATTACTTCAAAGTATCTAAGTATCTTTATTCATTCTGCAACAGTATCGTTATGCTTTTTAACACTTTGATGATATGCATTTTAATGAGATTGCATATGATCACTGTAATCAACCAGGTGTCTCCATTTGCACCAGATTAAATTTCTAGTCATAATTTAAATTGCCGTGTGCATCTCACAGCCACTTTTCTCCTGAACTCATGGCGAAAATTAAGAGAAACGCGATTGCATTTACATCATACTTACCACCAAAGGTGTGGCACCAACACACCGGGTATTATCTGGAGTTGTGTACGTTATGTACGTTATGTATGCTTTAATCAATGTTATTATATTAATTGAGCCTGACTGCAACAACTATTTGGGTTAGTGTGTTTGCTAATTCCCGCATATTTAGCGAACCACTTCCTCAACTCCCCACGACTTTACCAGACAACCACAGCCACAACTGTTCTAAGTTCTAAGTTAATCAGACGCAATACCGCTGTTGTTGCAGCAGTCGGTATTCGATCTTTTTTATGGGTGATCATGATCATTTCGTATAAATCGTATATGACTTAAACATATTAGCTGAAATGCCATCAGCGGCAGCCGCGCAATTTATGATGTTGCTCGAAGCGTTAATGATTGTTCTTCTTTCTGATGAAGCCACTCCACAAAAGTACAACACTTTTCTTCTAAAAATACTCGATGCGTTGCTGTGAAGAAAATGGTTTTGTTTTCATCTGAGGCTGTGCTGTTCGTTTTTTTTATTAATGCATGTGACTTTGTTAAATTAAAGTTTTCTCTTTTCTATTTTCATTTACGAGTATTCGAGTATTTCGAGCTTGGAAATAAATTGTCACACTACTTGACTTTGATGTAGCCCTGATTGTGCTAAATTTATTTGTGTTGGCACGAAGTTTCTGTGTTAAAATAACACTGAAGCTGTTGTTTTCATATACAAAGTTTTTTCTTTATATTTTTTATTTCACGTATTTATGGTTTTTTTGAAGAAATTTTCCTCATTAGTTCTGCTTGTTGGTTTATTTTCAACTCAAGTGGGGCATGTAACCATGCACAATATATTTAAATGTGATTATGTCTTGCAACATGTTGTCTTGTGGCAGTGACAATGCCTCAGCGCACACATTCACTCATATGCTGATTGCATTTCACGCCAAAAAAAAAATAAAATAATAAAATAAAAACATCTGAGAAATATCAGCAAATATCGTGGAATAATCAATGGGCGATTTCTTCTTTTATTTTTGAACTTTCTGATAATTCTGATATGATACAGTTTTAAATACTTTTTCTGTCATTTATAAATGATTTCGTACTAATATTTTGTTATTGCGGCAAGCGAACGCATATTTTCACAAATTGCCAATTACGTCAATAAAGATTTTTGTTCCCCCCACACATTGCGGAAATTGCGTTTCCTCCTCCGAGGTAACAGAAAAACTAAACAAAAACCAGGTCAGGAATTCATGAGTTTACTTAACCCAATTGCTTAAAGATTTCTGCCAATTCTGTCAAATCGGCGCGTTCTACCAAATCAGCTATATCTGCCATATCTGCCAATACTGGCACACATTGCAATTAATAAATTCAAAGCTAATATGTTTATTTATGTATAAAAGTCTTATGGCAGAATTTGTCATTTATTGGGATGTATCGTAAGCACTAAGCATATTTAGTCAATGTCAATTTATTATATTAGAAAGTTTTTCTAATAAATAATGGCATCGCATTACCGCCACCATTTTTTCTTTTCGGTTAAATAGGCTTGGACAGTAGCATTTAATGAATGTAGTCGCAGATACATATGTATCTGCAGATACTTGCTTCTCCTGACTTCTATACGCTATAAATAACCTAACTGATACGAGTACTGAAACAACTTTATTATCTATTGAAGCTTTATTAGAAAAATGACATCATGATATTTGCTTGGCGGGGATCCACTAATATTTTGCATAATAAATTGTTCGAATTTGCCAAATATGTGCCGTAGATACAATCAGAAACTATTTGTGTAAATGTAATAAATCGTTTTACGTCTTCATTATTTATAAATGTCCAAAATGTTTGTTTATAAAATCAATCATATATTTAAGTTATTAACTCTTTTTGTGTCTTCCTAAATATTTTGACCGTTTGACATCAAATTGACATTTTTGTGATGTGACTGTGGGCAGATTTGTGGAAAAATTCTAAAGATATATTGAGCAAAATTTAAATAAAATGTTTTCATTTTTTTTAACAAAGAGCATTATGTTTCTTTTATTTCGACATGTGTATTAAATTAATTTTAAATCAAATATATGCACATAATTGTATTGTTCATAATATGTTTTTCAATAAGTGGATTTATCAGTATGCATTAATTATTTTTAGAATATGATTTTAATATAAATATAAAATTTATAAATATATTTATATAATAAATATAATAATAAAGTTTAAATAAAATTCCTTTAATTTATGTTATTTATAATTTTTTATTCACTCCAGAAAAATGTGCGAACATAAAAGTCAAGAACGGGTTTGAGTCAGTTGGCTAATGAACGCTGACTCTGAGCTTCAAATTTGGCAGGGCACGAGTTCGATTCCTGGTACTTGCACTCTCAATTATTTACGAATATTTTAAATACAAGAATTGTTTAAAATTCCACTGATGATGGGTATTTGGCAATACATAAAACAGCTGCATGGTCAGCTAAAAATTCGATTAACTAAAATAATATAAAAATAATTTTTGTTGTTGTAGTTCACCACTTTTCGAAAAAACCTCTTTATCAAATTTATTATGTACTTTTATAATAACTAAAATACAACGGAAAATTATGATGTGGTTACATTAGCTGAGATATACAGTTACCAGTGAAAGCGACTCATGAAACAACAATGCAATTATAGTGGATCTTTTATGCTACAACTAAAACTAAACAAGCAGTGGAGTATAATACTATAATTATTGTAGTTCTTTTATGTTAAAACTAACCATAAAAAAAAACTCAGTTTTAGAAATAAATAATATCCCTCATTAAAAAGCTTTTAATATCGAATGGACCATCCGGATCTTCTGGACTAGTATTCTCTTTTGAACTAAAAGTAACGAAAAACAATAATGAAACCATAAATCTAATTCATTTTAAGGTAGAGATTGTCCTATTATTCCCTGCAGACCCTCCTTGTGAAAATTTGAAGTGCGTGTTATAGTGTACTGACAGGTAATTTCTCAGCAAACTTTACTGTTCAACTGAGAAGGGCATCTGTTTGTAATTAAATGAAACAGTTCTTTTCTGGAGTTATATTGCAGCAGCCAATATCCTTCAGATTTTGTTGAATTGATGATTACAGATTTTTATATTACACAAGAAGGACCTTTGGCTTCATTGCTGACATTTTCTTGAATAGAAATTTAAAACTAGTTTTACTGTTAGCACATTAATAATATATTTAGATTATATTTTATGTGATCTTAATTTAATTTAATTAATTAAATTTAATTTTTTAACAATGTTTTTTTTTTTAACGGAATAATTGGTCAATAGAAAAATAAAGCAATTTAAAAAAAAAAAATTTTTTTTTAAAATAAATTATTTGAATTAATAAATCGAGTATATTCCATAAGCAAATTGCTTTTTTCAAATATAGTACGTTATAAAGTCGCCTTAATCTAGCATATTAAAGCTATTCTATAGCACTTTTAAAAATACAAAAGTATATATAATCAAAATAAACTGCTTTAGAATTTGTAATTGTAACAATGTTTTAATATATTATCTCCCCCTAAAGTTAATATGATCCTGTTATGTGTTATACAAGTTTCTTTATAATTTAAGTATGTTCTTAATATG